GATGCAGGCACAAACACAGGTTATCTAGTTGAATCACATACATAAACTGAAAATTTTAAAATATAAGTAATCTCTAGACCCAATGTGGGTTTGAACTCATGAGCCCAAGATCAAAAGCTGCATGTTCTGTCTGAGCCAGCCAGGTGCCCCAGTATAATTTTAAAGCTTTCTAGTAGCCACGTTAACACATGACTAAAGAAATAGATTTTTTAAAAAAGATATAGGAAGAAGTTATTTTAATCCTATTTTCCTAGCCCAATATGTAATCAATATAAAAGCTTTAGTTTTTTTTAAATACTAAGTCTTTGAAATACAGGGCATACTTATAGCACATTTCAATTTGAACAACACACATTTCAACTGCTATACAGACACATATGGCTACCTTACTGGACAGTGCTGACCTAATGATTAATTTTTCAGATTTACTAGCAGCATAGTATAAAAAAATACTGCAGCTGAAATCTAGGAGCTTGGGCTCTATCAGTTAAGAGCTATGTGACTGATCTTGGTCTTGTTTTATTAACTTCTAGGCTTCTGATATCTGTAAAAAACAGTTTAGAACAAATAACATACATCTTGTAAAACAGCTCTAATGTTACGACGTAATCATCTTAAGTACACTATGATATACTTAAGTTTATCCATTAATAAACTCAGGATAAACTCCAAATCAGAAAAACATTGGTTGTATTTTACAAACACATTAGAATATAAGAGACTGCTAATCATTCTACTAAAATTTCCCTTTTCCAGATTTCTAGTTACAGGAAATTAACAATTCTAACAGTAGCCAAATTAAAGTGATTTACAGAAAAGTTTAAAACATGATTTGGAGAACAATTCATAGCTTATCTAAATGTATAGTTCAAACTCACCAGTATTGATCAAATTAAAAGATGAGTGGAACTGGATGGGGTTTTTATCCATGCAGGTGCTTATAATCCAGTATAAAATATTAACAGTTTGAGTACAAGGACAGGCCTTATTTAACTACTGATCCCCAGAGCCCATACACCAGTGCCAGCAACAATAATGTCTGATGGAATGCAATACAAAAAATACAAAACAGTACTATAAAAGCTGTAAGAAAGGAATAATGTCATTGTGGAAGTTAAAAGGAAGACAGAAAGCATATCCAGTAGGGGGTGTGAGATGGAGGTGGGAAAGGGGAATAAGAAAAGGGACCAAGAAAGAGTTAATATTTAAACTGTATTTTGAAGGCTAGATAGTAGCTCTTGCAGCATTAAGGATGAAAATGGGAACAGCATGAGTCAAGTTACAGATGAAATAAAGGATATAGCAAGCTTGGGGATAAGGGCAGAAAGAAGAAATGGGACACAGTAAAATAAAGCTACATCAGTGCTTCAGTGATGTGAGTACTTACGTTGTAAACTTTATATTATCAGTTGAGAAGCGTATCTTAAGCATAGGCCCTATATGATGTTTGAATAAAGGATATTTTGGATTTAGAAAAAGTCACAGAAGAAAGTGTTGGCATTAAGACTGTGTGTGTGTGTGTAATGGTTCAGACCATGGGTCAATAACTATATTCTGGAAATGGACAAAAATAAAATATTTCTAGACTTTGGGGGCCACATGGTCTCTATTACAACTATTTTATTTTACTACTGCAGCTGAAGAACAGTTATAGATGATACATGAATGACTATGACTGTGTTCAAATAAAACTTGCTCATTCACTTATGGGTATTATGGCCTTGTTATCTAATGTTACTTAATGTCTCTAAAACCTCAGTTTCCTTGATCTACAAAATGGGGATAATAACTGTTCATGCTTCATAGAGTTGCATGAGGATTAAATGAGAAGAATGAAAAACACTAGGCATAGTGACAAACTCATGCCTTAGTGTTTATGTTAGCTTTTGTGACGACACTTATTACCTGAGTCTGAAATATAATTCAAAGGCATTAAAATGTTTTCTAGGAAGCAAATAAGTCTGGAAATTTTGTTCTTCCCTGTACTGATTCTCTACGATACAATCTTTTATGTCAAGGACAATGACGGTCATGACTTTTTAAAAAACCATTTAAAAGTAAGGAAAACAGGGGCGCCTGGGTGGCGTAGTCGGTTAAGCGTCCGACTTTCGCTTGGGTCGTGATCTCCCGGTTCGTGGGTTCAAGCCCCGCATCGGGCTCTGTGCTGACTGCCAGCTCAGAGCCTGGAGCCTGTTTCAGTCTGTGACTCCCTCTCTCTCTGACCCTCCCCTGCTCATGCTGTCTCTCTCTCTCCTAGAAATAAATAAAAAATATTTAAAAAAAAAAAAAAAAAAGTAAGGAAAACAACTAAGAAGGGGATGAAAGGCATAGGTTGGTCATTTTTTGGAATAGTCCCTGAGTATATAAACTAACCTCTTAATTTCTAGACATGCCCAAAAGACAAATATTGGATAACCTTTGCCAGGTTTTTTTGTTTATTCATATCAACAAAAACAAATTTTCTCACTAGAGCATATAATGAATAAGATACTGAGCTAAAAAGTAAGGAAATATAACCTTATGTCTACAATCTTTGTGTATTACCCAATCCAACTTCTCATTTCAAAGATGAAGAAATATGTTTATCAAAAGTATAGTGAAACATGACTTGCTCAAGATCTCCTGTGAAGCTAACAGGGAATGAGAATCCTAATTACTAGTCTCTTAATCCAATAGTCTTTACATATTAGTGCTTCTAAACCATTTCTTTTTAATGCTTTCACTAACCAGAACACTGGTTCACCCAACCTGCAACATCATTAGCTCACAAAAGAATGATGTTAGGTGTGGGGGGAATGGGGATACATTTTTATGTCCCCAATACTATTATCCACCTACCCAAGAGAGGTAAATCAGAATGGGTAAGATGTGGGAAAAGATTGTCCATTCCACGGTTCTATACCATTTCAATGATTTGTTACCTCAATAACTAGAGAAACAGGACATTATATATAAAGATATATAATGCTGAATGTTCAATAAACGAGGCAGATCACAAGTACCACAGTGAATTTAAGGGTGTAAAAATCACTGAGAACTCTCTCAGGAGATGAGTAGAGGGATGTTTTTTAGAAAGTCAATTTCACCACATATCATATGTCCATTATATAGGTTTTGTGCTAGGTGCTGAGGACAAGGCAGTTACTAAGACAGACAGAACTCCTACTAACTTGTAGGTTAAAATTTCTGACCCACAATTAGCCTACCGTATTATAAGATACTGTCCATTAAGCTTTTTCAAGTTATACTGTTTACTGACTTTGATAATGTTCCTTAGTTTTCTTTTCCAAGGAGGTAGAAATCAGAGTGGGAAAGCACCTGATTTCAACAGCAGCAGCTAGTTCATACCTGCAATTCACATGACAACTGTAGTCATGCAATCCTGGTGACCACTTAGACATTAACCAGAGATTTAACAATTTAATTAGATTTCTTGTTATTAAACTCACATTACAGACCTCGAATAATTTTCAAGGTGTCAGACATGAAATATGGTAGGCTGCAAAGATGGAAAACATTAATAGAACTGCTTTTGATAAGCTATATTACAGTTTAATTAAAAAGCAATTTAATTTAAATCAAAATAATATTTTAAAGACTATGACCAGCATGAAAATAATTATGTAATTAAGAAATTTGGAAATGGCCAAGAACATGTTAATAAGGAGCTTCATTTATGATTTTTTTTTTTTTTTTTAGGTTTTAAAAAGTCTACTACAAAGACTAGGATGAACTTACGTACAATTATAGCTTAAGTATTTCTAGTAATGAATTCAATCCTCAATTCCCATTGTACATAGGAAGCACAAGACATAGAAAGAAGAGACCAACATGGATCCACAGCTGGGCGGTTTGGCTTCACACTCTTAGCCATAAGCTACATAATACTAAGGGTAAAAAGTGAATATTTTAGATAGTAATATATTTCAAATATGTTATAGAACACTAATAATCTTTTATACTGATATACTGCCTGATAGTAACAATATACTTAAATAGACACTATCTCATTCAAATAGATAATTTAGATTCAAATTCAATTTGACCAACTGGAACAAAAGAATGCATTAGATACAAATATATAGTAGTGCTTTTAAATTCAAAGGAGACAAATCAAAATATTAGATGGAGAGAGGTAAGGGTCAGAACTAATAGATACGGAAGTACTATTATGTAAAAGGTACTGGACTAGGTACTATGACTTAGACACCATGACTTCAACCATGAAAAAACATTAAGTCCATTATGAAACTAATCCAAAATCATGTAGCTTCAAAGTGGCATAACAAGGATCAGAATTCAGACTGTACTGACTCCCACTGTTGCATGGCTTAATAGAAAACGAGGAGAAAAAAAACCACTGGCATTTCCATTGATAGCAATATCAGCATAAACAATAGTTTTTGGTGGCTACCTCAAAAGCTACTACAGTCTTAGGCTTCATTAATCTAATATTAGAATTCAGAATATGCTTGGTACTACCCCCACCATTATCTAGAAAAGTGGCATTTAGGCTTACATGAAATCTTATAGAGAATAAAGTAATGATAACTATTTTCCAAATAATCTAAGGGGTATTAGGCAGAATTATAGATTTGAGATTTTGGCTCACAGTAATAAAATAATAAACAGAGGTATCAACTGAATTAGACTACCTTATGAGATAATTAAGGAGTTCAAAAACCAAACATTAGTAATTTTGCAGAGGGAGTCATAAACAAGATAGGGGTAGGAGAAACAGGTTTTCTCCCTGCTTCTATTTCAAATTAGGGAAGTTTGTCTTTTACATGTTATGTGAGCACTCTATTTTAGATTTTTTTATAGCAGGGAAACGTTCCGATGGTGTAAAAAATCTAAAAAGCACTGGATTAGACAGACCTACTATAAGATATGTTTCGACTCAAATTCTATATTTCTGACTGGTTTTGATTAAGGTCAAGAACATAAAATCATATTTTCATTTTATATGTCAAAGCAAAACAAATGCAGACTGAACATACCATTTTTTTCTGCAAAGGCAGCTGCATCCTCTTTAGTACTGAAGGTCAGAACCATATTGGACAAGGGATCAGCCCTATAAGAAACAATTTTTTTCCAAAATTTAACATTAAGTATATATTTTAAAATATACAAGTAAGACGTTTAGAACTAAAAAGTTTAGAAAATAAGTATCAGATAAGTATACTACTGATGAAATATCTTATTTCAAATAATCTCTTTAAAACGGTTAACTCTTTGAGTATCATCTTTTCCTGTGTTAAACAGATTTTCTAACCTGTATTGTCAAATTAAAAAATTTGTAACTGCAGGGGTGCCTGGGTGGCTCAGTCAGTTAAGCATCTGACTTCAGCTAAGGTCATGATCTCATGCTTCATGGGTTTGAGGCCCATGTCTGGCTTTGTGCTGACAGCTTAGAGCCTAGAGCCTGCATCATATTCTGTGCCTCCCTCTCTCTTTGTCCTTCCCACACTTGCACTCTGTCTCTGTCTCAAATATAAATAAAACATTAAAAAAAATTAAAAACAAAATTTGTAACTGCAAAGACATTCAGCAATTTTTTTACTCCTTAATAAAATCATTTATTCAACTCTTCAAAAAAATTAGAATTGAATAAAAAACAAGAGAATTCTCAAACTGACCTTATAAATTTATTATCAAGAAAATTACTGGTGAGTGCAACTGTCAGTACTATCATTACCCCTCTCCACCAAAGAGATGGCAGGAACACCCACTCTTCTAAATGAACCTTCCATTGTTATGGACAATAATTAAGCATATGGCCACATGACAAAATAAAGCTCCAAGAACTGACATCTAACTGAGTTCTTCAATCTAAGAAAGTGACAATGTTTATAAATCTACATGGACTCTTCACAAAATGGCATGTTAACTTCAGAAATATCAGTTTTACTAGTACATTTATAAATAGAACATGTTTGTTATAAATGTTCATTATTAATCTCTCAAAGGTGAATATAGCATTCTGTGAAACATCATTTAGAAACATGGAAACAGGGGTGCCTGGGTAGCTAACTCAGTTGAGCATCTGACTCTTGATCTCAGATCACGGTTTCCTGGTTTGTGGGATTGAGACTTGCATTGTGCTCTGTGCTGGACACACGGAGCCTGCTTGGGATTCGCTCTCTCGGATTCTCTCTCTACCCCTCTACCCTTCTCATGCACATGTCCACTGTCTCTCTCTCTCTCTAAAAACAAACTTTAAAAAATATGGAAGTAAAAAAATAAAGGAGATTTAGGAAGTAATATGGATAGTGGGAAGATATGAGATAGACACAGAAGAGAATATATCGGAAGTAGCCCTCAATGAAATGAAGATCCACAAATTGCTGCTGAAGTTCTAGTCATCTACTATGGTTACTGTTCTGAGACTCCTTATGAGATTCTATAATGAACCATACCACTTCCTTATAAGAAAAGAACTTCACATTAGTTAGCCATATTAGCACCAATAACATAATTTTATATTGATCCCTCCTTTTCAAAGCATATATGATTTCTCAGTTGACAGTTTAGAGAAACTATACTGAAAACAGAAGGGTCAACATAGGGGCACCTGGGTGGCTCAATCAGTTAAGCATCTGACTCTAATTTCAGCTCAGATCATGATCTCACGGTTTATGAGTATGAGCCTTACAACAGGCTCTACACTGACAGTGCAGAGCCTCCTTAAGATTCTCTCTCTCCCTCTCTGCCCCTCCCTGGCTCGCTCTCTCACAACATAAATAAATAAACTTAAAAAAAAAAAAAAAAGAATCATCCTGGGGGGCTCAGTCAGTTGAGCACCTGACTTTAGCTCAGGTCATGATCTCAATGCTGGTGGGTTCAAGCCCAGCATTGGGCTCTGTGTTGACAGCTCAGAACGGAGCCTGCTTCAGAATCTCTGTCTCCCTCTCTTTCTGCCTCTCTCTCAAAAATAAATAAACATTAAAAAAAAAGGAAACAGAATTGTCTTCTATTAAAAATAAAAGGTCAACATATATATGATCCAGTAATTTGGTGAGTGTTGTCATTCATGTCAGCTTAGCTGAGAATAGGAAACAGAACAGAAAAACTGTAGAGAAAACTCAGGAGCTCTCCTTTCTGTAAAGGTGGTACAGCTTCTAGTATTCTGCTCATTTTATTTATAAAGAATTACATATACAGGTTGAACACTAACAACTTTTATCCGTTTCTAAATTTCTCCTTCTCAATCTCCTATATTCCGCAATTCTTCTCTAAGTATGCTGCCACCACCAGTCACCCTTTATCCTTTCCCCAAACTTACTACCTTTTCCTAACTAATCTTTCTGCCTCCCTTCTGGACTCCAATCTACCCTTCACCTTGCCAGATTAAATTTTCCTAAAGTTCAACTTTCAAACTCATTGTCCAACTTTAAAACTTAAAATAGTTTCCAGTGTCTACCAAATTAATTTCAAAATTTCCTACACTCTGGCATTCAAGCCCTTCTATAATATGAACAGAACCCACTTTCCAGTCTTCTTTTTAATTATTCCCCTTGGAAGTAACCAACTGTTCAAACATATTGCTAGTATTCCTCTGAAGGTACCCTATACGTTCCCAGCAGGTGAATCTGTTCCTCCCACTAGGAATACAGAGGGACACCACTACATCAGCGTATGAAAGTCCATCCCAACCACCACTCCTGGTCTGCAATGAATACCAATCTTTTATGTGAAGTCTTTTATAGTCTACCGTCCTCCATCTATAAATAATCTTTTTAATCTTTACCAGATACAGTCGGTACTTCTGTATTTATTTTAAATTTATTTTTTGAGAGAGAAAGCCCAAGTGGGGGAGGGGCAGAGAATCCCAAGCAGGCTCCATACCGTCAGCACAGAGCCCAATGAGGGACTCGAACCCATGAATTGTGAGAGCATGGCATGAGCTGAAGTCGGACGCTTAACTGAGCCACCCCTACGCCCCTGTACTTCTATTTTTAAGCTTTATTTGATCAATTCCCAATTACTGAGGTTCCAATTTGGATAATGGCAGGTTTAACTGTCATTAATATCAGATTTGTCTGATTAACAATTACATAATAATTATAAACTGTGGACAAAATAAAACAAAACAAAAACCAACCGTTTGAAGGGAACAGAGTGACCAAAAGCAGGAAAGAAAATGGAGAGGATTCAATCTTTGAAAGAAGGAAAACACAGTGGATTAGGTAAACTGATACTGTTTTTGCCCTAAAAGTACTCTCTAGGCTAGATGGCTAGGACCATCAAGAAGTCAAGCAGAAAACCATAGTCTTATCAGCACAAGGAATCTGGAGATGAAGTTTAGGATTGCCAGAGCTGCTGGAAAGTTTGGGGAAGAAACAACGAAAAGGAAGAATCTGCAGAGGAGAGAAATTCTGAACTGCATACAAATGGGCACGACTCTCAACAGCTCAGAAACCTGAAAGAACTAAGTAGAGGTTTCAGTTGCTGTTTGTTTACTTGCTACAGGGGAGACTGAGTTTGGAGTCCCACAGTTAGAAGGACTTGGTAAGTACCTCGTGCTTTCCACCGAAACCTCATTTTTTAACACTGTGTTCTAGGGCGAAGACCAGAGTAAAACTGAAAATGACCCACCCTAACAAAGCATAAAATACATGCTCCACAAGTTCAAGGTAATCTATCAGTCACTGCACTACCTGCTAAAACAAAACTTCTCACATTACCAATGTCATTAACTGAATAGAAATAAGGACAGAGAATTAAAGAATGGTACTTAATAGAAATTTGTTTGGTCAGGGGTCAATTAGCACATTAATATGAAGTCATAGGTTCACCAAATATGTACAAGAATCATTTTAAGTATTATGTATAATAACCCCCAACTGAAAACTGTTATAAAGAGATAGCAATCCTAAAATGGAGTCACCTGTGCTTAGCCCCATGTCAACAAATCAAAACTTCATATGTAACCTAATTGCAATTTCAATCTCTCTCAAGAATGTAATCTTAAAATAGTCAATCTGGAATAACAATCAGAGAGATTACATAATTTTCTCTTTCCTTGTCCTTGCCTCCTATAAGCCACCAATAAGTCTTTCATTTTGCACAGCATTTAGAAGCTTCTTTGTATTTGCTAGATGGAATGCTGCTGGATTCATGAATAACTGAGTAAAGTGAATTTGATCTTTAAGTTTACTCAGTTGAATTTTGTTTCTAACAGGCTTGGTGGTAGCAATGGGATATGAAGCAAACTTCTGATGGCATTCAGGGACAATGACAAACATGGGTGGTTCCTATGAATCCTTTTGAGTTCTTGGTCTTTTTTCACTTTTTTTTTTTTTTTTTTTTTTTGAGAGAGAGAAGACGTGAGAATAAGGGGTACAAAGAGAGAGAGAGCAGAGCTCACCCCAAGTGGGGCTCAAGCTTACTGGATGTGGGACTTGAACTCATGAACCGTGAGATCATGACCTGAGCCAAAATCAGATGCTTAACAACTAAGCCACTCAGGCACCCCCTTCCCACCATTTCTAAGAGCTATGGGTAAGTTCCTCATTTTAATCTCTCCTCTCTTCACATCAAGCTCTGAATCTAATTGGCTTACCAGGTAGTTCAGGCCACAATTCTGGCTTTTGGCTAAAACCCCAGAGTCTTTGATTCTGTCCCAAGAACCATAGGGGAACTGTTAATGGCAGCTGCAGTTTCCCACTGATGCGGAGCCTCCAGTCCCCATTTGTTGGTGTCTGCTACTTCAATCCTTTCCCCAGTCCAAGGTTCCATGATAGAAATTACTGGTGGTACACACAGGACTGTCTCATGGCTAGCGCACAGTAATATCTCTTGATTACTGCCAACATATTAAGGCATACATGTTTGGTTGTCTTGTTTTATATAGGGGTTAATGCTAATGGGGATCATGGAAGCCAAAAATCTGTAGGTGTGAGGACACTTAAAAGCTGTTAGAGTAATCCCCACCTAACTCAGAGATCCCCATGTTAGTATAAATTGGTTACACAATGGGTTAGGTTGACACTGTTACTGCCAATCTCAAGAAAATTTCTATGCAATGAGGCATACTGGAAATTATCACAAAACCCCCAATGCAGCAGCACATCCCTTATAGGTATCCCCTTAAGTTTGGTTCTAAGAGACCCAAAGCCTTAGCTAGAACAACAACAACAGTAACAAAAAGGAAGGGATCTTTAAATTCTAAAAAGTTAAGCACACCACCTTCTGACACACCTGCATATTTTGTCTAAGAACTATGGTGTCAGAAGCTACAAAAATGCCAAAATGTTATTAGAGACAACCTAGAATTACAATGGCCATTATGGAGAACGTTCCAATTAGATGAGATCTTCATTTAAGAAATGTACTTGAAAACAAGGGTTCCTGAACTGAACAAACAGAATGGGATACCTATTTTAATTGGTATTCAGAAGTTTCTAAAATGCAGCAAGATTCCAAAAGTACTTCATTAAAAAAAAAAATGAAGTAAAAGACTAATGAAAAAATTAAAGACACAAGAGGTATTTAAAAAAAGACAGTAAAACTGACATGACTCCTGTTGCTTGCCTCAAATCTTCCTTTACCTGACTATTCAACACTCCACTTATCCTATATCTGAATTGCCTTTCCACTCTGAAGAGACTATTAAAAGGTTACCTTTTATAATAAAATCACCTGAGGTTGTGGGGTGACTCTCTTTCCATTCCTTGGTCAACGACTAAACTAAAACCATAGTTACAGAATTTCCTAAACCCAAGGAGGATCCCCCAGAAGTGATCTGAAGAATTTATTAGAGTCATTATGAGGCCTATGGCCCCAGGTTGCTGGATCTTGTCCTCTTGTGCACATGCTGGTGGGACCTGGTGAAGCCCAAAAATGGATGCAGGAAGCAAGATGGTGTAACCCCAAGGATGATATCCAAGATCTTTAACCTTCAATCTGGTCCCCTCCTGGACTAGAATACGTTCACAGAACAGCAACCAATCTTTAAAAGCCATTCCTATAGTCCTCCCTGTTCACACTGGTTAGTATATTACTCAAACATGTGAACAAAAGAAAGATGAATCTGCTGTAGACACTAAACCCACCTGGAAGCTTTCTTCCTAGAGGATTTTGGGGCTCCAGAATAAGAATAAGGTCACCCAACTTGCTCTAGCTGCTCTATTTGTCAATGGATTATCTCCTGAGATTAGTGAAGTGATAAACAAGCAGAAAACAGGATGGGAGACAACTGACTGAACTTATGATCATAGTTGAGCACTTTGAAAGAACTTTGAAACAAGACCACAAACAAAAGTTTGCCAAGATACTGGCCTTACAGATACAACAGCTCCAAGGCCAGGCACCTAAAATAACACCTGGGTGCCCCCACATAACACCTCTTAGGGGCCCACAATCAAAACCATGGAACAGCGGTTGAGGCTTTATTTGTAATCAACTGGGACAATGGAAAAAAATGTGTCCTCAAAGGTCCTATGCAGATCTGTAAACATCAACTCAGTGAAGCAGATGTCTCCTCTAGAAATAAAAGTAAAAAGCTTTAGCCATCTGAACAGGTAAACTTACCTTATACCATCTACCAGAAAAACAACTTAGATCCAACTTCTTTTATAACTAGTGAGTTGTGTATTCCTGTACCTGACTGATGGCAGTAATTTTATTTTTCTTTAAAGAACTTATTTGAGAGAGAGAGCACAAGCTGGGGAGGGGCAGAGAGAGAGAGGGAGATAGAGAATCCCAAGCAGGTGCCATGCTCAGTGCAGAGCCAGACTCAGGGCTAAATCTCAGGAACTGTGAGATCATGAGCTGAGATGAAATCAAGAGTCAGATGCTTACCTGACTGAGCGTTCCAGGCGCCCCGGTGTCAATAATTTTAAAATAGAAGGTAGAAGTTCTACATTTACATCTGTCTGTATGTCTATGTGTCTAAATACATGTGGTGCAGATAGGTGGGGTTTTTTAAATCTCTTAATGGTATTGGTAAAATTAACTTGTAAAGGAGTTCCATTTAATTGGCTTAAAGAAAATTAAGAAATTAAAGAAAATTACATGAACTAAGGTATTCCTAACATTCTCAGATATACAAAGACACTAAAATGCTTTTCAGACTCATGTGATCTGAGAAAATATTCAGTATCAAAGCCAATTTAAGTTTGTTGGCTTAGTTAAAATAGACATGTCTTTAGAATTATCAATAGTGAATACAATGCAAACATACAACTTTTAGTATACTTGGGTTTAGTAGTCAAGTATGTTCACATTATCTCTGTTATAAAACTTATCAGCAGGAAAAATAACTTGGATGATGAATTCTGAGAAGTGATCTAAACATAATTTTAAAGAATGAGTGAAGTTAATAGATGTAAGCCAGATAAAAGTTTTTAGATGAATTTTTAAGTTTCCCCAAATCTTTTTGGTAACCTCAAACCTTAAAGTTTTGCTAAGTTAAATGAAGGAGAATCATTAAATATCTAGATCATTTACAAATAAGATAAAATACTGAAACATTACTTACTGAATATAATTGGTTTATCTACTTTGGCTTCCTTTTATAGAGGAACTAAAAGTATTTGGATGTATTAGTAAACATGTTTTGTGCCTGAGAAATTTACTATGAGAAAACATGTGTTTCCAGAAATAACAAAAAGTATGTCTACCAAGCCACAGAATGCTAGTGTAAGAGACGGTTCATATTGCTTACTTCTTTATTTTCATTAAAAATTAAATAATTTTAGGGGTACCTGGCTGGCTCAGTCAGTAGAGAACGCAACTCTTGATCTCAGGGTCATGAGTTCAAGCCCCACACTGGACATGGAGCCTACATAATTTTTAAAAACGGTTTTTAGAGTTAAAAATTCTAACATATGTAATTTAAAGCCACTAACGTTTGTGGAAAAAGAATCTTTGGACACAAGTATTATGCATGATCAAGACTGGCTAAGAAAAAAAATGAATTTAAGTAAACAAATTTTAAAGTAAACTAGTAAGAAATTAGAATGTGGTTTTTCTCTCTGAATAAAGGACAAATTTTTCTTGGATTGTTAGTCTGTTTTTGATATGAGATTGTAAAAAAATTATTATTCCTTTACCTAGAAAATCAAAGATTCTGTCTTATCAAAATAATTTCCTGTGTTTCATGTTGTTTTTATCAGGTACTTAATTACCTCCCTTATTAAAAGAAAGAGCTAGAGTTATTGTTTTTATAATAATTTAACTTTTTTTTAAAAGTAGGCTTTATGCCCTATCATGGGTCACAAACCCTGAGATCAAGAGTCATTTGTTCCACCAACTAGGAGCCAGCCAGGCGCCCCGTAATTTAACTTTTTGTATTTGCTCTCTCAGTCTTTAATTATCCCTATGGTTAACTGGATAACTAAGTATTGTTTCACACTAACCTACAATCCTACTTGACCAAGTGTTTTTTTTAACCGTTGATATTTTTTATCAGCTTTCCAAAAATCAAACTCCAAATGAAATACTTTTGACCTTGAACTAACTTTAGGATTTTTCTAGAGGGTCCTAGAAAATTGCGAAAGATTTGTGTTCTCTTCTTATTAGGCTTATTTGATATGTTCAGTGACAGGAGAAGTCATGTCAGATAAAATAATAGTAAGCCTTCTTTATGTAATTGATATAGGTATGTATTATGTGTTCTAAAAATTCTAGAAATCCTGATGTCCTGGTATAATGTTATCATTCATAATTCTACTTGTCTTACAATGTTGTGTAACACAAAAATAACCAATTTCCTGTTCAATTCCATTATAAGGGACTCTTGTCAGGTCTTTAATCACAGACATTTTTAACTCTTTTGTCATTCACAGAGATGGCTGTTTTACTCTGATGCTGCAGTGTTCCTGCAAAAGTGCTACATTTTAGGGGCGCCTGGGTGGCTCAGTCGGTTAAGCATTCGACTTTCGCTCAGGTCTTGACCTCACGGTTCATGGTTTTGAGCCCCGCGCTGGGCTCTGTGCTGACAGCCAGCTCAGAGCCTGGAACCTGTTTTGGATTCTGTATCTCTTTCTCTCTCTGACCCTCCCCTGCTCAAGCTGTCTTTCTCTCTCTCTCAGAAATAAGTAAAACATTAAAAAAAAATCTAAAAAAAAAGTGCTACATTTTAAAGGAGATTCGTGAAAAGGATTTTGACAAGTATAGGGTTCTTTTTTTTTTTTTTTTAAGATTTTTATTTTTTTTTTTAAGTAATTTCTATACACAATGTGGGGCTCAAATTTACAACCCTGGGATCAAGAGTTGTATGCTCTACCAACTGAGCCAGCCAGGCGCCCTGACAAGAACAGATTTCTCATAACTAAAATCATAAAACTAAGCTGGGTAGGAATTTCCAGAACTATTAGAAAAAACTGGATTCAAGAATTAATAACATGGTGGGTGCTGGCTGGCTGAGTCAGAGCATGCAATGATCTTGGGGTTATGAATTTGAACTCCATGTTGGGCATAGAGCCTACTTAAAAAAATAAAATAAAGGATTAGTAACATGGGACTGAGTAGACTGATGAAAATTATAATTTATACCACTTCTTGTGTGAAATATTGCTGGTTCTTTAATGTTTTGTTTTTCCAGATTTGACAAGCTTTTCCTCTTAAGCTATTAATGATTTACAACAATTTGGTAAAGTATACCTTTGTAAACAGAGATGAAACTCTTACGTATTCTTTTCATAGCAATATAGCTAGTTATTTACACAACTTCAATAAAAGTCTATTCTCCTTGGGGTACCTGGGTGGTTCAATCTGTTAAGCATCAGACTTTGGCTCAGGTCATGATCTTAGTTTGTGAGTTTGAGCCCCACATCAGGCTCTGTGCTGTCAACATGGAGCCTGCTTTGGATCTGCTGTCTCCCTCTCTCTCTGACCCTCTTCTGCTTTCTCTCTCTCAAAAATAAACACCATAAAATTTTTTAAAAAATCTATTCTCCTTATAACAAGACACAATTGGGAACATTGGCTGTATCACCAAGGCTGAAAAAAAAATTTTTTTAATGTTTATTATTTTGAGAGAGACAGACAGATGTGAGTGGGGGAGGGGCAGAGAGACAGGGAAACAAAGAATCCAAAGAAGGCTCCAGACTCTAGGCTTTCGGCACAGAGCCTGACATGTCCCGAAGTCTGAAGCTTAACTAACTGAGCCACCTAGGCGCCCCTACCAAAGCTCTGACTGAAATGATTTTGCATATAAAATCTGATGGCCAGTCCCTCAGAAGCTTTTTAGAATTCAAAATTCCTTATGAAAAGTTTCAGCAAAGCAGTGTTCAAAAAGAGCTCATATGGTCAGTCACTATTCTCACTGCACTTTCATAAACAATCAGGCCAAGTTTACTGCACACAGATTAGGTTTACTGTGATTATCTTTGTTTTTTGTTTTTTTTTTTTTTTAAAAATGGAGTTAAGATAATGTTTGCACCTTTTTAGATGTTAGACTCGACTCCCATGAAATATTTAAAAAAAATTTTTTTAATGTTTATTTTTTGAGAGAGAGAGTGTGTGTGTGAACAGCGGGAGCGGCAGAGAGAGAGGGAGACACAGAATCTGAAGCAGGCTCCAGGCTCTGAGCTGTCAGCACAGAGCCCGACGTGGGGCTCAAACACACAAGCCGGGAGACCATGACCTGAGCTGAAGTCAGACGCTCAACTGACTGAGCCGCCCAGGCGCCCCTCCTATGAACTATTTTAGAGGTTTTGTTATATGCCTATAAACTGGACTGGATCCTAAATTTTTCTAGTTTCCTCAAATATCTGGCTACGACGCTCCAAACTAATATTTTCCATTTTTTCCACCCTTGGAATCACTAAGAACAAAGGCTACCCTTGCATTTACCTGGGAAGAGGCTCTACTAGTTTCTCCTCACCACCTAGATGAAGCCAAACTTCAAGGACTAGAATCTCAGGCACATATTTCACAGCTGAAAAAGGCTTTGCCTAACATCTAGTAATGTGCAAAAATTGGAAACCTTCAAATCAAATTGAAGAAAAGAGGCAGGTGACAATGATGTAGATTGTCCTCCCAAGATCCCAGATAAAGATTTCACACTTTAGCTAAAATCCACTCTTATTGTCATCAAAAACTCTGATCTATTCATTAGAGACCCCTTGGTCCATTTCCCTGTCTTTAGTTAAGAACCTCAAAACTTGGGGAACTTTGCATCCAGGCTCTCTATAAAAAAAGGACCTAAGGTAAGGGTAACCAGAATAAAACAGCCTGTTTAGTCTACAGGTCATTAAAATATTGCTGGCTTCCACGGCTGTCACTTTTCCGGTCTGGAGCCACAGATTTAAATGGGAATTACTGGAAGCATTCAGGGTTCCTTTCCTTTGGCAGGCAGGGCTCTACTTCCCTGGTCAATACCACCTGCTGTGGATTACTTCTGGGGAAGCTGAAACTAGTTACACAAGCTCACCTTAGCATAAAACAGAGACTCCTTCCATGGAGTCCTTCTCTGATTTAATTGATTTTGACTGGTTTGCATCTTGGAGACCATGGTTCTAAAGTCCAATCCAAACACTGGGAATTATCTTGCTTTTTATAATCATACTAATCTACCCTGGCAGGATATATTCTCTCAAAGGCTTTAAATGCATGTCCCTAGCCTCTACCCACCAAGCAAATGATCTCCCCAAGACTGAAACATCTAAAAATGAACAGAAAGAATAACCAACTTAAAAATTAAGAACCTGAAGCCGGGGTCTGTCACAGAGATTAAGACCTATGAATACCACACAAAGGATCAATAAAAGCTGTGAGAGGGGCACCTGGATGGTTCAGTAGGTTAAGCATCAGACTCTTGATTTCAGCTCAGGTGACGATCTCTTGGCTTTTGAGATCGAGCCTCAAGTCAGGCTCTGAACTAACAGTGTGGATTCTCTCTCTCCCACTGCCCCTCCCTGGCTCCTGCTCTTTCTCTCAAAATAAACAAACATTTAAAAAAAGAAAAAGCTGTGAGAACTTCAAAGTGGTAGCTGGGAGTGATGCTAATGCCTTTACTTTAGATGATATCTCTCAGTTATGCTGAGAGTCTGATTTAATTTTCAAAAAATTAAAATAGGCTCAAAATGGAGTCACTTGTGCTAAGCCTCACATCAACAAAGCAAGACTGCATACCTAACTGTGTTTTCAACCTGTCCCAGAAACGTAACCTTAAACTAGTCAATCCTAGAATTTCCTCAGCAGCAGCAGGGAGGTAATCCACCCAATAGACCCCTTCTGTCCCCAAAGAAAGAAGAGGTAGGGGTGCCTGGGTGGCTCAGTCGGTTAAGTGCCCAACTTCAGCTCAGGTCATAATCTCACGGCTCACAGTCTGAGCCCCACATCAGGCTCTGTGCTGACATATCAGAGCCTGGAGCTTGCTTCAGATTTGTGTCTCCCTCTCTCTCTGCCCCTCCTGTGCTTACACGTGCTCGCTCTCAAAATAAACCAACATTAAATTTAAAAAAAAATTTTTTTTTAAAAAGAAGAGGTAATGCATACTTTTCTTACCTCTGACTCTTTTGCCAATAAAAGTCTCCCATTTTGGGGATGCCTGGATGGCTCAGTCAGTAGAGTATGTGACTCCTGATCTTGGGGTTGGAGTTCAAGCCCCATGTGGGGTACAGAGATTACTTAAAAATAAAATCTTAAAAACAAAAAAGTCTTCCATTTTGTATAGTTCTTTAGAGCTCCTTTCTATTAGCTAGATGGGATGCTGTCTGATTCATACATCATTGAATAAAGCCCATTCGATCTTTAAATTTATTAACAAAACTACCCAAATACCAATAATAGTACAATGGATAAATCTTGCAAATAAGGAGAACATTAAAATCTCATGTGACTTAAAGAGTAATCATAACATTTCAAACACTGAGTATGGACGCCTAAGAAACTGCTTATGTTATCATTTTGTCAAATAAAATATAATTGTATTTAAACTGCAACCTGGCAGCAGACATTTTTAACAAAAACTCTCCCACGTACATTTGTAAGTAAAGATGTTAAGTATCTTACTTTTTACAAGTAGACATAATTTAAACTGATAACCACCTTTGACTAGAGAGTGGAAACATAAAACGTTCTAGGAGTCTCTATAAGATTGGCAATTTTCTAGCTTATCTGGCTGTTTTCTCTAGTAGCAGCAACAGCAGCTTTTAATCAACTAGAGGCAGCCCTGCTATTTAACATTTGAGTTTTATTCCAGCACATTTAGGTCACTGACTTACTTCATTGGTGTCACAGAATTTACAACCACTTTATTCCAATGCACTGTATATTTGTTAATCACAAGATCTCAGGAACTTACAAGTTTCCCTCAAAATACCTAATTTCTTTTTTTTTAATGTTTATTTATTTTTGAGAGAGAGAGAGAGAGAGAGAGAGAGAGAGAGCGTGAGCAGGGAAGGAGGAGAGAGGGAGACATAGAATCCGAAGCAGGCTGTGAGCTGTCAGCACAGAGCCCAATGCAAGGCTCGAACTCATGAACTGTGAGATCATGACCCGAGCCCAAGTTGGAAGCTTAACCGACTGAGCCACCCAGGTGCCCCTAATTTCTTTTTTCTTAAGTCTATTTATTTATACTGAGAGAGACAGAGCATGTGCATGTGCAAGTGGTGAGGGGCAGAGACAGAATCCCGAGCAGGCTCTGCAGTGTCAGCACAGAGCCTGACTCGGGGCCTGAACTCACTAACCAAGAGATCATGAGCTGATCGAAACCAGGAGTCAGATGCTAACTGACTGAATCACCCAGGCACCCCAATATACATAGTTTGGAACCGTGCTAACAGTGCTTAGTGTCAGCCATTTTTCTCCAGTAAATAGTTCTCTGAAAAGACTGTTTCTATGATTTTTGTGCTGGGCCACACTTAGATGAGCATTAAATACATATTCATGTAAATGTAATACACGTGTCTATCATTTAACAAGATACCTAAACAAATGGTCTCAAAAAGTATTGTCAAATTATTGAATTTACAATTCAATATATTTAAAAGGAAAATTCACACAGAAAAAGAGAGCAGAAAACAATATTCAAATTAAATCAAAGTACTCACGTTGATGCCCAACCCATCAAAGGATTTTCCCATCGCTCCCTGGTATCAAACTCCATCTTCCATTTCTTTGTGTTGTTTACTCCAGACTGCATGTTATTGCGAGCAGGAACAAAGATCCTGACTTTTCTAGTTTTGATATGCTCTTCTGGAACACCAGTTAAAGTAGTGATATCCTACAGAAAAACAAGCAAACACATTTCTAACAGCTCACATACATTCTGATGTACTTTTGCTGCTTTCTAGATTCATGCAATTCTATTGAGATTTATAAACTGGGGTTTTTAGCTTTCTGACTTCACTACTCTGCTGTTATCAGATAAATTGCTATTTTGATATCTGGAAAAGGTATACTGGCAGGAGTGTTAGGGTACAGTGGGCAAGGGTTTATGAAAAAAAAATAGGTTCCTTTTGTCCAATAAAGCATTGATAATTTCTGAAGAGTCTGCTGGTAGAAGAGCCTACAGACTCTTATTTCAAGAGCAGGTGTAACTAGTAAGCAGAGAAAGAATGTGAATGGATATTAAAATTAAGGGGAGGGGCATCTTGGTGGCTCAAGTAGTTAGGCATCAGACCACAGCTATTCTCAAGATCTCAGTTTGGTTCCTGACTTGGAGGCCAGCATTGGGCTTGCTGCTGTCAGCACAGAGCCTGCTTCAGATCCTCTGTTCTCACAAGTGTGCTGTCTCTCAAAAAAATATAAATATTTTTTAAAAAGTAAGGGGATATAAAAAGTTACTTTTAAATTTAAAAAATCTATTACCAGTGGTTTCGGTTTCAAACTGCTTACAAGAAGTCATTTCCTTCAGGGGAAGGCCTAAACCTTTTGTTAAATAATATCAATTAGAAACTTTAATTAGCATTTTAATTTATCTCCCTTTGGTGAAACCTACCAAAAAGAACCCACATTAAATTTATTTTGCAGAGGTAAGCCATAGAAGTTACAGTTTTTGCAAAAATATGAGGTGAAAACAATGGTAACTTTCTTGAGACTCTCTCTTGTTTTAACAAATGCTCAGAGTGATAAATGCATCTAAGTTTGATGCCCCAGATCAGACATATTTATCAAACATAGTAGTCATCAGGGCACAAAGTAATAAAGTAATTCAAAGTTTAAGTCTCCTTTCAGTAATGGTAGAAATACTTTATTTGATCAAAGTAAGATCCTATCAGGGTTAATCATACTTTTATAAATGAAGCAGTTTAAAACTATGGTTCACTTACTAAATTTTTAAAAACTGGTTAAAAACAAAAGAGTTAACGTGAAAATGATACCAAACTTGTGAAAACTAGAAAATGTTGTGAATTTCAATTTCATTGTAACATATCCCCTAAAGAAGACTAATGTTAATTTATAGTTCCACTCTAAACAATGCTATTGACCAAATAATTAGTGTTAATACTTAGTGCTACAATATGTACTGGGAAAATACAAAGTGTATTTCTGACTTCACTAGTCTTCCTACTCACAGATTAAGAAAACACTGTTTAAAGTTATTTTAGCTGGCAACCAATCTTCTGCTAAACACAATACCATTCCACCTGCACCAATAATTAGGTGTGGTTACTTTGTCACAGCTTGTCTGTTCAGAGAAACTATCAAAATAATCCATATAAATATTTACACAAATATGCACTTCTAGTACGTGCCTACATTTAAAAAGTTTCTTTGCATATAGGTTCACAATTTTTAAATGAATGAATATTAGTTTTAAATGTTAATTTTTAATTGTCAAATTCAATTTCAAAGAAATTCCATGTTTCATGACACTCGATGACTTTCTGAAGCATATTTCTCCAAAGAAGACCTTAAAAGAGACTCCTAGGAAGTCCTCAATGCTTATTTCTTTTGAATTTACTATAGCACTTATATTGTCATATTATTATTATTTAATATTATATATCTTTATATTAAAGTCATATTTCCTCAGCTAGAGTTGAAGTGGTACATAAACAATGTGTGTTACAAAATTACAGGGTGAGGCATCATTTCCAAATTCCACATCAAACCCTCCATAAAAGTTCATGAAAACTAGAGCTATAAACTAGCTACTCCTTAAATTAAGATTTACAGGAAAGGAAACATATTAAATTCTTATAATACCATTTACCTCGAGAAGATGAGATTATAGGAAACAGATTTAGTTTGTCTTTATAACTTCCTATATTGTAATGTATATATGACAAAATAATAAAAAAATAAGACTTTTTAAAGACGAAACAGTATTTCTTGATTTGTACTATTAAAATTGAAGGAACAGAATGATTTTTTAGGATGGAAAATCTCTTTAAGTGGCTATAAAATGTTGCGAAACTCTTTATATTTTGAACAACTACCAGTGCTTCCATAGCTTCTCAAAGTATGACATTTTTTTAATTGATCTCATCCCCCAATTTAGAGTTGGCATTGGCACAAATAAGTTTCTGAATTTTGAAGCCCAAGTTGTTCTGACACAGAGTCCCTGTTCTTGCCTGCAGAAGACATGTAAGGTACTGCAGCAGAGTTGAGCTGCTGCCAAAGACTGAGAATGAAAAGGCTTGGCATCTCTCACATACTTGACACCTAAAGGGCACAGAAGCTCTAAAATTCCTAGTCTCTGTAGGCACACTCTTCGTCTAGACAAACTGATTTCTCACACTTTTAAAATGCATTACGACACTATTGTTATCATTTCATCCACATGGCTTCAGCTAGTGACAGAAGAACCTGTCCTTTAAGCCACATTTCAATGGGCTAAAAGCTCCCACTCCAAGATTGCATTAAAACAATGTAATACTTGAAAAGAACTATGAGGCACTATGTTGAAATCTTTACTTGTGTCTTAAATTCTTTGCTCTCCCTCAAAATAAAACATCTGCAAACTAAACTGCATCGAACTAAAGACATTATCTCTAGATTTCTACTTCTGTACTGCAATATTGGATCACCTGTGGTTTTCTAAAAAAAAAACAAACCCTACTTATTCAAATGCTTTGCCGATATCAATATTGCCTTTTATAGATTTCTCATTTTAATTGCTAAATACATACTTATAAATAACAATTCATAATTTTCTATGACTACAAAAAAGCTAACTCACATTAGATGAGAAGCCTTCAAGTTTTTACCTAAAGAAACTCATGGCTCACTAGCTAATAATTATGTATAAATTCTAATAAATCAAGTTATCCTTTGGATAATATACACTGATTTGCTGAGTTTTAAAACTTTTAATTTTTAAACAGTTGAGTCAAGCATAAAACCTGCATTCCAATTATTAAAGAACACCACTGTCTTAATAAAGTTTCACAAACACAATCTTATGTACAATAGTGCGATCTTAAGAAACATAACTAATGATTCATACACTGAAGGCCATTCAGATAAATATTTGCTACTGAAAAGATGCATCTCACAATTCCAAAGTTCCAGTCTTTCAGCACCATCTCCTCCACAATCTTAAATTCTGGAAGAGCTTACAGCTGACCTTCTATCTCACAAGTCTAGTTAAATGTTAGAAGAATTTAAAAAATCATTAAGAAAGTATATGCCAGTAGATGTAAATGAACTCTATTCTTTCAAATACCAATTTCCATTATAAAATATTGGTTTTCCATATAAAAACTGTATGATTCGGTTATCAACTGTCCCCATTTATGTTGTGTGAATTCAACCTTTTTTTTTTTTTAACAAAGGAAGCAGGGAACAAGCAATGGGAAGTTGGTGTCAAAATGCAGAAAAACCTCCCAGCAAGCTTCTTGCAACCACCCAGGATTTAGAGTCTTGCTGGTCGCTCTCTTTTCAATACCAGAATTTCACACATTTCAATGACTATTATGACTTCAAAGAATCAAATTTTCATCATTGTCCGTCATCTGCCGGTTGATTTGTATAAAGGAGTTCTTCTGCATGCACTCCAAACAAAAGCCTCCTTACTTTTGTGGTTATATATCAAGTTTAAAAGTTTTGTTTGTGACAGTTGTGTCTTTGGTAAATTAGGGTAACACTGAAGGAGTGCAGCTGCTCTGCAGGAACCTCCTTTCTGGCACCATTTCACTTAAATAAAAACTGAATAATTAGCTTCTGCCTTTATTAAACCACAAAAATGCCACTGGCCTTAGTAATTACTTCCAGTTGCCCCACCCACTTAACCTTAATAGTTTACACTTGTCATAAAGAGAAATAAATGAAAAGGGTTTTCACCACTTTAGTGAATTTTTGATAGATCTCCCAGTACATCCAGAAGGGCCAAAATTTTAACTAGGTTTCTGGGTAAGAAGTTCACTAAATTGCATGTATGGATCGATGTTGAAAAGTTTTAATAGAGCACATACTGGAGCATGAAGTACAAATATTGCTTATAAAAACTTGCTCTACTGTAAGCTTTTAGTTACCAGTTATGTATTTAAATTTATTCCAGGGCTAAAACTGATCTAAACTTGAAGACTGTTTATATTCTACTTCAACCATGAAAGATGTTAAAAAGAAAACAATCTGTAATAAAAAAAACTTCCTTTCAAGTACCCTACAGATACTTAGCACAAGAAACTCACTAAATGGTCTCATAAATAATGAAGGACATTTTACAAAATAAATTTTACAGTTTGAACAATCTAAAGAGTTGACAGCATAACTATATGTATTTACTTATCATGGAAGAACATTAAGCACTTCTAAAAAGTCAGTGGCCATAAAAATTCATACACAAATAAAAACTGTAAAAATACATTAGAGGTGTGCCAGTAGAGCTGATTTTTGTTTGTCTGTTAAAGCAACACATTGATGTGGGAATCCAACCAGGTAATGAAACAAGTATTGGAATACAACATTACGTTTTGTATACTGGGCAAGGCTATCATGGAACCAAAAGTTCAGCTTTAAATAAAATGCTAAGACAGAAATAGTAACATGCAAAAGACTCTGCAAATCATATAATAAGTAATACAACTAATAATTACACATTTGTCTCAATCTCTATTTTCATTACTTCTAGATCTTTCTGAATAGGAGCAATGGTTAAAAGCAAAGGGCTGAGTCAAACGGGGTTAGAAGAATCCCAAATCACAACTTTGGGCAAATTAATAAGCTTCATTTCATTTACCATCTATAAAATCAACTAAATGAAGTAAAATGAGGACTAATGTATATAAAGTGCTTACCTTAGACAATAAAAAGAATGTATTTCATTTACTCAACATATTTTTCAGCACTGGCTATGTATTAGTTACTGGACATAATGCTCAAAACAGTACAGACATCATCTGCATTCGTATGAAAATTAATACTGAACTTTCTAAAAAGGAGAGACAGAGTAAGTATTGGGAGGCCGATGTTAAGATAAAGAAAATCTCCCATCTTCCTTGAAAAATAAGTTAGTAATCAAAATACAACAAAGGGTTTTGTAATTAGAGTCCATAAGCTGCTTCATGTTTGGAGGAGAGAAAAACGGAGCTTTTAAAAACAAGGGCTGAATGTCCCATTTGTTGTACACATCAAAAACACTGAGTAAAACTGATTGTATTGAGTATGAAAACACATACTAGTAAGCCTATGAAATTCATAAAATTGAATGATTAAGATACACTTTTATTTCAACTCAAAATGAAAGATCCTACTATGTATGACAAGTTATTCGTGCCAGGGGCTGCAGGGGATATAAAGACAAAATTTTATTCCTGAATAGGTTTACAATTTGTGCATCCATGGTAAGGGTGATGTGTGGCAGAAATAACTCAATAATCACATCGGAAAATACAATATTGGTTAAGAGAAAGCAAGTAGGATTCAGATAAATCTGGAGGAACCCAAGCACCACCAGTGCTACCTATGCAGTACTGACAAGCTGCTTAAACTCTATGTCCATTTTTTCCTTTAAAAAGTATATAACAAAACCTATGTCAAAGCACTGTTTGGAAGGATTAAATCAAATTTTAAAGGTGAAAAACTATCAGAAAAGACCTTACCAAAGAGGGACAGAGAAAATGATTCCTTCGGGATGCTTACGATTTTAAAGATACTAGTAAACACTTAAAATCAAAAAGAAATTTAGAAAAATCTATCCATATGCTTAACATCTTTGCTAGTAACCATTTTCTTTCCTTTTTTAATTCTGTGAGGGTTACTTTTTTTTTTTTTAACAAATAGTTTATTGTCAAATTAGTTTCCACATAACACCCAGTGCTCATCCCCACAAGTGCCCTCCTCCATGCCCATCTCTCCCCTCCCCCCATCCATCAGTCCTCAGTTTTTGTCAGCATTCAAGAGTCTCTCATGGTTTGCCTCTCTCCCTTTCCCGAACCAATTACCCCCTTCTTCTCCCCCATGGTCCTCAGTTAAGTTCCTCCTAATCCTCCTATACGTGCAAACATATGATATTTGTCCTTCTCTGCCTGACTTATTTCGCTCAGCATAACACCCTCAAGGTCCATCCATGTTGCTACACATGGCCAGATTTCATTGTTTCTCATTGCCATGTAGTATTCCATGGTATAGATAAACCACATCTTCTTGATCCATTCGTCCGTTGATGGACACTTAGGCTCTTTCCATGTTTTAGCTGTTGTGGAGAGTGCTGCTATGAACTCTAGCAACCATTTTCTTAACTGTTTTACCTACCAATAATTATCCATACACATATCCACTTTATAGTTATAATAATAATAAAGGTACTGTGCATTGATTATTTTTAAGTATCACATCACTACCTTTTTAAACATTTAGTTACCTAGTTTTCCTATTTGTTTTAATCCTCATTAATAATCTATTGAGTTGATATGTCACAATGTCTTAGCCAATTCTGCCAATGAGCCCTGTTGCTAAACTATAGACGCCAATGGTTAAAAACCAGAAATAGACAAGACTGTTTAACTCATACTCCAACTAAAACCTATTGTGCTTATTTCTTATTGCATTTTCTTGAGGCATTGACAAAGACATTTTGCAATGACAACATTCCAACTGCCAGACCAGAAAGGCTCAGATAGTAAATGAATGTCTAGAAGACCATACCCCACACATCCCCTTCTCAGACCATGATCATGGGCTAAACACATACCGACCTCCACCCATGATCATGAGCTCTCTGCTTGCTTTCTTGCATGGACCGCACCCCCTGCCCCAACTCTCCCTTATAAAACTCCAGGTATCCATCTTGCCAGCAGAAAGGCAGGTTGTTAAGGCTTGAACCTGCCACCTCTAACAGCTGCTAGCCCCTGAAATAAATTTCACCCTTTTTTTCAAACCCTTGTCTCTTGAGTTACTGGCTTCTCTTGCAACAAGTTTGTTCAGCAACAGTGTTGGCAAAACCCAGCCAGAAGCATTGGTTCTAACTTGTCCAGCCCCCTCAGGAATCCCCAGGGATGGAGCTGTTGGTGGAGGCAGTGCACTGGGACTCACCCATTCATTTCCTGAGTTAGTGGCTGGGATAGATCAATCAGCAACAATCTCTCATTATTGAAAAATCACGTTTTGTTATTGTTGTTTTTCCAGTATACTGCAATGAAAATCCTACCTAATCTCTTTAACCATCCATCACTGAGGGTAGAATTGATGAAGTCAAATGTTATAAAAATGTTCGTGGTCCCTGACATGTTATCAAACTGCTTTCCAAAACTGTGGGCAAATTTTATACTGTCACCAAAAGGCACAGGCCAGCTATCATTTATCCTCTCATGGCACAGGTATATACTAACTGGCTTGAATTTATTTAGTGTGTGCTCTTCTACACAAAACTATAGAGGATGAGTTTGGTTTCTGACTTATAAAAACATACCAAAAAATTAACAAATTTTCCTCAAAAGTGACCCAAATGTTGTTATGTTACTTTATAAGAGCAGCTACCAAAAGAAACTGCCATGAAAATGTTAACACTCATCTAAAATCTAACTAACAGCCCAAAACAGAACTCTGAAACATCACATAAATGTACAATCTCTTTGTAATTGTAGGGGCCACAGGTAGGCCATGTCAATATGGGCCAATTTGGTATAAACATTATTTTGAATTAAAAGCAATCAAAATCCACCACATTCAGGAAAATCTCTACCTCTCCCTTAACTGCCTGTTTGTACCAAAAAGAGAGCTACTAACAGATTCCTCTTTACCTAAGAAACTTATCTATATAATAAGGCAGCTTTTGTTTTGTAAACATGTCCTCTTACTTTCCTGCTAATAGTCTTTCTCCCCTTTGTATCATCCTCAGACGCCTAGCCTCTCCTCAGCTCAAAGAGTCATCATGTTGCTCAGCTGGTTCTGGAATTCCACGTCCATGTGAATTGCTAAATGTACACTATGAAATGTTATTGTCTCCTGTTAATCTGTCTCATGTCAACTTGATTCTTAGTCCATCTAGAAGGACCCTGAAGGGCAAAATAAACTGTTCCTTCTCAACATAATGGTGTGGGGATAGCAAATATTTTCACATTTGTACTGTATATAGTTCTATTTTGTAGTACATGATTTAACATATGGCACAGCCAAATCAAGTCTACTAAGCAGTTATTTCATGGCAGAATGCCACAATTTTTAAAAAATGATATAAACTTTTCCCCTCAAATCAGGAAAATTCATTGAGAGACTTCATTTTTATACAAGGAAACACATGAAACAATCTTTGTTTTCTATGAATCCTGAAACAACTGAAAGTTACTAAAAAAAATCATGCCTCACAAATAAATGATCAATTATGATTGTGTCAGTGAATACCAATATGTTTCTCTGAAGCATTTTTAAAGTTACTAAGCTAATAATTTTAATTTAAGAAGCCAGTTATTATAATCATAGTCAAAGAGACTTTTTTTTTCTTTTTAATCCAACACTCCAGAAGTTTTGGGATTTTTAAATCGCTAAGTCACATAGTCATGTAGCTATCAGGCATGTAGGAAGTTTTTCAGAAGCTGAAAATAAAAGGACAAAAAAGTGACCACAGAGCACTTGGAACTCACATACTATAGTCTGAAAAGATCCAATTTTTTTTTTTTATTTTTTTTATTTCTAGGAGAGAGAGAGAGACAGCGTGAGCAGGGGAGGGTCAGAGAGAGAGGGAGATACATACTCTGAAATTGGCTCCAGGCTCTGAGCT